TTAGCAAGTATGGGATAAGTTGAGACAGCATTTGTGGGGGGTTTTAAAACTGTAGAATAGTACTCCATTATGTTATAAATAATTCTAAAAATCAATAACATTTAGTGTCAGTTTTTAAGAGATTTATGTAAATATTATAATTACTAAGAGATCCAATTTCAAAAAAAAGTCATTTTTTATAAATGACATATAAAATATATTATATTATTAGGATTTCTTAAATGTGATAAGGATCATTGAATGCATTATTTGGGTTATAACTATTAATTTGTTTGTCTTTCAAGTAAAATATTTTTTTTTTTAATTGAACTTTTATATTTTTAATTTATGTATAGCTTTAGTTTATTTTTTACTTTTGAAAAATAGATCTGGTTTCCTATGTTGTCTATTATTAAAAAATATTTCAATTTCATTTTTGAATGATTATTAATTACTTGTGTGATTATAATTAAATACTTGCGCGATTATGATAGAGTTATTGTGTGATTATGGTTAACATAGATTTTTAAATAAATGGAAATCTAAAGTATCCTAATTTAAAGTCAAAATTTATAGATATTAGAAACGCTAATATCATCTTTTTTTAATTTTATCATTTTTGCAACACTTTGACCCACTTATGTTCAAAATGGAATGTATAAAAAACAATTATAGTCTGGTTTGCTTATTGCATCATGTCTATCAATGTACACATATTTAACTGTGTCTCTACATTCCAGTTGATTTATATCAGTCTATGTCTTTGCATGTTGATGTATGAACATTTTAAAACAGTAACTAAAAATATCTAAAATTTACTATAAATAAAAAAAAATACATTTGATAGATCATAATTAAAAACTTTGTTTAATAAATTAGAAACTAGATTGTGTAATTAAAAAAGCAAATATATAGCATTTCTTTAAGAAAAAAATGAAGAAACTTCAGTAGCGTCAAATAATTTTCATTTATACAAAAGAAGATAACTTTTATTATTTCTTACTGTAAGGATGATGAAACTGAAATTAAAGCTGTTAATCATCCTTTGAAAAAGTTCTTATTTGCTACAGATGTTGTTTCAAGAGAGTTAAAAAATTTTTAATTAAATGTTTATGAATAAGTACTGTTTTATCAAAATTTATTTTAATTATGTAATTAAAAAAACCCCATGTTATTTTCTTACTATATAATTTTTTACTTCACTTGTAAAACTATCAAGTGAAGTATAAAATTAGTTTTACACTTGTAAAACTAAATTTTTTTAACTATTAAATATGAAAATTGACAATAATATTCTATAAACTCACATAAATAAAGTTAGATGTCACTCATATAGTTAAAAACTAGTCAATTGAGTGACACCTAAAAAACAAATACAAAAAAAAAAAAAAAAAACTATAAATAAAACATAGAACAAATTTAAAATAAGATGAGGAAGAAAAAGAAAAGTTTAAAAAAAAAATTAAAAAAAAAAGGAAAGAAAGGAAAATAAAGCACTAATAAATAAAGATAATATTATTAAGATAAATTATAACAATGTGAATAAAAAAACATTACAAATAGTAACTATAACATGATAACTTTACAAAAAACAATAACTAATGATAAAAACTATGGTAAAAATAATTATAATAAAGTAAAATAACTGACAGAAATTATTAAAAATAAACAACATTTGCAAAAAATAGGACAATAACCATAGAACTATTACTACAATAGAATCACTATCACTATCATTGTAAATAATATTAATAAGACTTCTAAAACAAAGGTAAATTAATGATATTAGTAATAATATTAGTAGAGTTAAAAAAGACAGTATAAAATAAAAGTAATAACAGTTTTATAAATAAAGTAGTATAAAAAAGACAATAATAATAAAAGATAAAATTAATATTCATTAAATATATATTAAAATAAAAACTTCTTAATTTGGTTTTGATTGAGAAGAAGAATGTTGGTAATGAAAGGGTTTAGTTAAAATCTTTTTTTTTATAAATGGTATTATTTGGTTCCAGTGAGAAATACATTGATGTTTTATAGAGAGCTGGCCATATTTGATAGTGTTGAAAAAGGAAGTGTGAAAGTTAAAATACTCAGTATTTCGAGCATTTTGTGTGTCGCAAATATTACACGAGAAATTATTAAACAAATTTGTTTATTTTGAAGAAAATAAAACACAGAGACAATTATAAAACTTTACAAGATCTTAAAATTTTAGAATTTTTAATTCAGAAAACCTATTTTGGATATTAGATCGTAAAGGAGATAATGTTATAATTTTTATAGAAGTGCGTTGTAAACTGTATATACAATGTAATAGAAAGCTACTTTTTTTGACTGCAAACAGTGCAACAATAATAAATTGATATTAGAATATGTTGGGGAACATAGTGTCACATTAATGACAACATACTAGTACCATGATTTTTTTTAAAAAATAGCCTGAGGTATTTTATTTATTTAGATGGAAAAGTCTTCTATAGTTAATTCTAATTTTCACATTATCACTACCAATCATTTCTTTTTGGAGGATGAAAGATAAAAAATTCAGTTTTATTGATATTTAGAGAAAGAGAGTTACTATTTAACCAATAACACAAATGATGGAAATCTGAATTATCTTTTTTAAAAAGCTGCGCAAGTGATTTACTTATGCACAGAAGATTAGTGTCATCAGCAAAATGATGAACAATCAAATTATTTAAAGAGTTTGGTAGATCATTGATATATAATAAAAACAGTAAAGGCCCTAGAACAGAACCCTGAGACACTATACTAAATAACTTTACTTGTGGATTGAAACCTGTTAAATGATTACCTCGTATACCATAGTGATATAATTTTTCAATTAAAATCTTATGGTCAACTGTATCAAATACTTTTTAATGATCAATAAAGATGCCACAAGCAAAAGAACCAGTATTAATCGCACCACAAATCATTTCAGCAATGCTAATAAGTGCATGGGAAGTAGAGTGTTTTAAATGAAATCCAAACTGGCGACCGTATAGACACTTAGGATTATTAAGAAAGTGGTAGATACGAGAATACATTAATTTTTCAAGAATTTTGCTGATACTTGATGATAATGATATTGGTCTATAGTTATTGCAGTCAAGTTTTGAGTCCTTTTTATGGATTGGTTTAACAGATGCAGTTTTTAGAATATTAGAGAATACACCAGTAGCAAATGAGAGATTAAATAGTTTAGAAAGTACGAAAGAAATATCATTAGCAAGAAGTTTTAGAATAAAGGTTGGAACGCTGTTTAGACCAGAAGCCTTGCCATCATTTAGAGAAAGAATAACTGATATTATTTCATTTTTTTCAGTAGGTTTATTCAAAAGAGAGTTAGGGTTTGATGTTTTTAAATACTTATGGAAAACAGTATGGAATGAATCAATATTTTTTTGCAGTTCTTCAGGGATTGAAATAAAAAAGAAGTTGAAAATTTCCGAGATTTTAACTGGATTATTTATAATGGTATTGTTTGAAGATATACAAGATGGATATGAGATATCATTTGAACGTATAGTGTACGTATAGTGTTCACACCTAGATAAATTATAAGTACCTAGATTTGTACTCTTTTGGTACAGACTGTGCTAATTGTGCTGTTTATGTCATGGAATTTTGATATGATTTCTTATACTTTATATAAACAGCCATTATACAAATACCCGATAATTAGTATGTTATGAACCTTTATAAGAACTAGGTTCATCTCATGGATCTTTACAAGATGTATGAGATATATTTACAAGATTTAAGAGATACACTAAATTAAATATCTTTTATCTATTGAATAAGTAAGTCGATGAACATTTAATATTCATTAACTGCTCAAGTATAAGCTTTTGATAACAATAAAAACAAGAAAATTATAATATATATTATTGATAATTTTTATATTACTTTTTTTTTGATAACACTTTATTTTTTCAGGCTGTAAGTTTTAGCTTAGCTTCTATTTGCGGCATGCAAATTAGGTATAAAAAGTTTTATGAATGGTCTTTTTTTGATAGACAACTTCTTTTACATGGCTTACCTTTACATAGCATCTATCGTTAAAAATGAATATTATATTGTTTCTTCAATAAATTTTAACATTTTAATCATACAATAAAAGATCTAGTCTTTTTTGTACATCAAGCATGTACAAAAAAGACTAGAAAATCATTCAATTTTAATAAAGATATAAAAATAGCAATTAAAAACAGTTGTTTAAATGGTCCTTCATCAAGTGTTTTACAAGACTCCCAAAAATATTTTATTAAATGTTTCTTTTAAAAAGGATATTAGTTTCTATTCAATTCAAATAAAAATAATTGCAAATATTGCTTTACACTAAAGACTTAAACTTTATTCAAGTATTGGTACAAAAATACACTATGTGCACATGTGATTTTTGTAAATAGTTTTATTTTAGTGTATGGTTAGTATTCCCTATATTTTGGATCCAAATAACTACAGACCAATCTCATTACTTCTATGCCAAGCAAATTAATGTAGAAAATAGTTAAATACAAGGTTATGCAGAATGTACTGTTCCACAACCATATATCAAATTGTCAGCATGGTTTTGTAAACAAAAAATCTTGTGTCATAAACTTACTTGAGACAATGGATTTCTTGACTTACAATATATTAAGTAAGCTTCTTGTTAACATTCTCTTTCTTAATTTTGTCAAGGCATTTGATAAAGTTCTTCACGTAAGACTGCTACGAAAGCTAGAATTGAAGGTTGTTTGGATTGTTGGAAAAGAGGTTGAGCCGAATTAATTGATGCAAAAAGCCTCAAGGTTCTTACTTAATTATATAAAAGAAGATATAAGAGAGTAAAGTTCATAAAAACTACGTTTTTTTGTCAAATGTCAAATACTTTTTGTTGCGCTGTGAATCACTTATGCATTGAAGAAATGGTTAAGTGTCCTATGCATTAGTACAAGATAATTACCCATTCAATAAATAACTACCTTATATACATTTTTTAATATTTTGCAACAAAAGCGACTCACCCAAAAAGATGATCCATTTTCATCTGTTGCTTGTTGAGTGTCTGGTATAGAAAAATGCATTTTTAAAAATTGACTTTAGCAAGCTTCTTTCGTCATATATAATCATTATGAGGACACATTGGCAATGTCATCTCAATCAATAAGATACATTTTGTTATTACGACTTATTCGTAAACTTGTTTATTACTATAACAAGATACAGTTATTGCTACGGTGTTGTCGCAAAGCATTTTTTACAAATTTGAATAAATTAAAAAAAAAAAGACACGGTTTAAAATTATTATTTTTGTTTTTATTTTAATAATATCATTACTACTATTATTATTACTCTCATATAATAGTATATAGTATTATATAGTATCCTTAATATGTATATACGAACAGCGATCAGGGAAAATACCCAGCATTAAACAACCAGTTTAAAAAAATAGTTTTTTTTTCCAACTAGTCTACTTTTAAAAGAATGCTTAGTGAGTTAGAAACTTCTGGACTTTACTGATCTGTTATATATTCAGTTGTGTTTTGGAAGGCAGTTTGGAGTATACTCACGTCTGATCTTTAAATGGTAACCAAGTGATAAAAAAATAATAGTTTTAGAAATGATACATAAATTAATGTTTTTTTAAATGGAAAATTTTGTGTACTATGATGTTACTCTTGGACATAGCCATGGCTAGGCAACCCCACACCACCAAATGAGGGGGGGAGAAGCAGCCGATTTAGGGGCGAATTTTTCAATTTAGGAGCTCTTTTTAAATATTATATATGTCATGTTGGGTCTCAAATGAAGGGAAATTGTATAAAATATGAATCATTTTAAAAATAAAAGTAAGAAAAAAAAGGGGAACTCAATAAGGTTTTTGGATTATAAGTTTTTTTCTCGATATTTTTTATATATGTTTTAGATATGCTTTAAATAGACCTAACGGTCGTGTCACAGAGCAATGCAGAAGAGTATTTAACTTGGAAGTTCAGAGTTTTTCCTTACAGATTACCCAAAACATGTCCAGATCTCGCTTTGAACCCTGGGTTTCTTGTTGCTCTAACTACTGTAGTATAAAAGTATAGCTGTAAATAAAATTAGTTTAACAATAACGGATCATACAGCTTTTTTAAATGTTTATTTTAAGTAACCATGTATTTGACCACTTGTATAACTTTAAAAATACTTTAGATGAACATGTTAAGTTTGCAGTAAAGGATTGCGAAAGTTGTACTATGCTGTCGTTTGCTTTAACTTGTATATTTTTTATTTCAATTATTATACTAAATTTGTTTTTGTAATTTTTATTAACTATAGTTAGACTAATTTTTTATTCAATTCAACAGAAACTATACATGTATATTTGTATATACAGCAATGTGAAAAATATTAAGACCACCGAGAAAAAAAAGCTTTTTTATTAGTTGATACCACTTTTTAGATACTAAAAAAGTAGCAGCACTGCTTTATCTTATCATCAACATCCTGTGGGTGTGGTTGAGTATTGAAATTATTGATTTGAATTTGAATCTGTTAACCTTTATTGTAAAATTATTTGTTTTAGTGAACATTTGGTATATTTTGCCTTGTGATGTAAGTTGCGGACAAGTGAATATGTTCATAAGGTTCAAAGGACCTTTGTGAATATTTGTTAGATTATTGCTGTTGATAATGATACAGTTTAATATTTTTCTAATTTTAAATATGTGATTTTGATTATCTTAGAATTTTTTGTTGTTAGATTATAATATATTTTCAAAATATGAGTAAAGTTGCTGACCCTAGTCCCAGAAAGCGATGCAAAGTTGAAGCATTATTTAAGTTGGAAACATTTTCACTATGGGAAATTGCCAAAAAATGTGGACTAAGTAAAACAGCTGTTTTTATCATCAAGAAACAATTAAACTTTGGTTTGATAGTCAAAAATTTTGGATGATAATCAAAAAGAGAATTGCCGACAGAAAGCCAACAACAAAAGTTGCATTGATTGAGGCGCTCATAGAGGTTTGGACACATGATCCAGAATACAAGACATGTTTCCAAGACTAATTGATGGGATGCCTAAGAGCGTTGAAAAACTTATTGCAGCTAAAGAAGAATCCAAAAAATACTGAACTAGGCTCATTTTATGACATTGTGTGTCTGTCTTTATAAGAAATATTAGAAAAATTCACTTTTTCGACAATGGTCTTAATATTTTCACATCACTGTAAAAATGTATATTCCTATAACATCAAAATATAATATAATTTCAAAATTTTACTTTTTGAAACGAGCTCAATCAGTTTAATTGTTTTTAGCTGAATCATGTTGAATTGATAGCTAATCGAGTTCAGTGTATCATGTTTAATTGGCAGCTAATCGAGTTGAGTTGAATAGTAGCTAATCAAGCTGAGTGTATCATGTTCAATTAAGCAGCTGAATTACAAAGCTTTTTTTGTAACGACCGAAAGTAATCGACCGAAACGGGAAATACGCCGAAGCCGAAATTTCGGTCATACTAATTCAATATCGTAAATGAAACCGACAGTTCGGCAAACATTTTATCGAAGCTAAAACCGAAACAAAGTTAATTTTATTAGAAAATGTTAATCAAATCCAAAAAGCAATTTTACATTTGTTGTTTATTTAGATTTGTTGTTTATTTTTTAACAATTTCCTTCCATCTTATATAATAATAAATTATTAGTTATAAATAAAACCGGGAACAAAAAAACTCAAAATTTTTACCTAAAAATGCTAGATCTGCCTCTGCGCATAACTCAACTAACAAAATGACATGAACAGTAAATTTATCTACATAGATTTGTTTCCATATTAATGCACAACGGAAACATTCTATTAAATATGTAGCTTTTAATGCAATCATTAATAGAATTTTATAATTTTTATTTTGTTTTTGAACTAACTACCCTGTGGGCATTAGACATCAACTTGACGTCTAACAAACGTCCACTTGACGTCCGTCGAACATTTGAGGACGTCTTATTCCCACTGGATAAAGAATGCAGCGAGAAGAACAAAGCATCAAGTGCACTTTTGGACAAATTCCAAACTTTTGTATGTACATGCTAAATTTATTATTATTATCAAATTTAAGTGACGAATTGAACCATAAGCTCATAATTAGCTAGCAAGCTAGCTCGTATAGTTTCAGTATACTGTGACAGAAAATGATGAACTGAGGTAATTATACAGTTTGCTGATGTTTATGTTTGAAATTGTCAATATTAGAGGCATTAGAAACTTCTTCTGGCAAAATTTTCAATTCTTTTTAACTCAATTGCTGAAAACGTTATATCGAACCAGGTACTTACTATTAATTTCGCGACAAAAGCACTTTCGATGACCATAGATAGGAGGAGTGGAAAATGGTTTTGTTTACATTTAAAATCCCTTTTTAACATTGTTTTAATTTAATAATGAAATATTTTTAGAACTTTAGAAAGCGTAAACATAAATTTGAATTGAGTTCAGAGAATTATATGTTAAGAAAAGCATATAATTCTCTGAACTCTTTTTAAAATATTGCCTGATGTATTTTTGAGAAGATGAATTCTATCTTTGCTTTTATTAACATAGTTAAACGAATTTCATGTTTTTACTTTAAATGTTTAGTAATGTCAGGTTTAACGGAATGATTTTGACTATTAAAATTTATTTTAAGTTCATTATTTTTTTTATTTAGTTGAGCAGCTGATTTATCAAACATTTGTTTGTTCAGATTTTTAATATGTGGAGTAAGTCAGGGATCATACATTTTTCTTTTTTTTTATTAATGTTGGGAATCTGGGAATTAAAGCAACAAGTAACAAGTTTATTACATCTTGAATTAAATTAGTAATTTTAAGACATCAAAACTCAAGTATTTATTTTATTCGTCAAAATGTTATTTTAAAAAATTCTTTTTGCAACTTTTTAATAAATCAATAAACTTTAAGTATCTTATTTTACAAAAAGTTGATTATATATATATATATATATATATATATATATATATATATATATATATATATATATATATATATATATATATATATATATATATATATATATACATATATATATATATATATATATATATATATATATATATATATATATATATATATATATATATATATATATATATATATATATATATATATATATATATATATATATATATAAGTAAGTGAAATTACTCCTTGAAAAATATACCTATACTAGATAAAAAAAATTATACTATTTCTTTGATTGAAAAAGTTGAGCATTTTATAAAAAGAATTCGTTGGAAAGCGCATTTTTCTTAAAACCAAATACAAACACAGATGATGTATTTGATAATAACCACATTAACTCCCCTTTGAAAAAAATATATTATTTTCTAAAAAAGGGGTGCATAGAGACTTAATGATGTCCGGGGTATATAATAAAATAAATTAACTGGATCCCCCTCCCCCATAACCACCATTATAATAAAAATAATAAGAAAAATAAAGCTATTATTCCTATATTCACAAAATATTTAAAAATTCTGTGTTTAAGACAGTTCATAAATTAAACAACTAAACACAACAAAGAAAATAACATTTCTGGATTTGGTGTTAAGTTTTTCTAACGTTATACCAAGACTTTTCGGGCTTTTCTAACAGCAAAGTTGGAAGTTACAACATTGTAACTAACTTTCTTCGCAAGATCTGTTTCGATTGAAAGGATAAGACAGTTGTTAAGACAATCCTGTCCCATGATAGCTCTTAGAGAGTTCTAAAAGATCTCTCCTCTCCATCCACATATACTGGCAAAGTAAGAAAGATATAAAGACAGATGCATATCTGGGGAATATTTCCTTCAAATGCCTTTGCATAAATGCTATTCAGAAGATCAAAAGGCCGATCATTTATCAGTAGATGGCTTCGAACAGACGAAAAGTGGCGGTGCTCAGCAATAAACTCGTTTTCACTAAGATCATTTGGATGCAAAAGTACGAAATCTTTAACTTTAAATTTTTACTGTTTGTTAAGTCTGAATTGATGTCAGGCGTAGACCAGATAAAGGAAAATAATCTACATTGCTGTTTCAGAGCTTGCAATCTCTCTGATGGATGAAAGGAACAAAAAAAACAATTTTCATTTCTTTATTGGATGTTTTCAATTTTTTATTTTGTATACTGATAATTTTTTTTTTTGTCATACCATGATGCCCTATAAACGCGATGGGAAACCGACCTTGATCCCTCTCCCTCTGTGCTCCCCTGAG